TTTCTTCTGGCCTGTAAGGCAATATACCGGTCATCTACGGGTGTGGTTCCTCGTGGACGACCACTACTGAACCCCGGATAGCTGTTCCTGTAGTTTGAAATTGTCTCCAAAGTCGTGAAACGATGCTGTGAGCAATTCCGAACTCTGAAGCCACACTTGTCACACTGTGACCTTCCTCCAACTTCCCAATGATTCGACCTCGGGTAAAAGCATCCAGATGTCGTCTAACAGATTAATTATTCGCCATTTCTCGCTGAGGCAGCAACTCGGTGTGATTTTAACTGCTATACGGTGTGCAATCTCTTTGCCAGTAATACTAATCTTACACCGAAAACATGCTTTACTACTCAGACACTCCCCCATTACGTCTACCTGCATAGCTGCGCATGTGCTACCGTACGTCACCTCACTTAATCTCCTGATTGGTCTTTCTGTCCGCTCTGCCTCTTCGTTCAGCTGATATGCTAAGTTCTCAACTTCGTCCTTAATTTTTGCACACCAGTGCAGAATATCTAGGCAATGTGTGAAATAAGAATCATTTCATACATTGCTGGCTAGTTTTAGGCATTCTTTACAATACCTAGGCATTTTATAGATTGCTGGATTTCATACTTTGCCGGTAACATATATATATATATATAGTCCAAAGACTGGTACTTTCAATTTTATTAGCTCACCCCTGTTTCTTATTTTGTCTGTTTTTATACATTTTTAGTTCAATATACTTTTTGCACCATTTATTTTCCTGGTATGTTGATATGTTTCTTAGAATTCAATTTCTTTCTTTTTAGCCTTGTGGGAAGTAAAATTTTATATCTTTTTATTTTATTTTATTATACAATATTATATATATATATATATATATATATATAATTTTATGCGTTAATATTACTGTCCATTGCCCGGGAATATGTTTTGCAGTATTCACGTGGTAAGTCTTTATCTAATAGTTTTAACTTTGATTTGAAAATATTTTAGTAATTATTACAGGCTAAAACATTATCGTTGTACAGTAATAGATTATGGTTTTATTTATAGTAGTAGTTAAACTTCTCTAGAAATTTCTTGCTCTTTCCCTATGGCCCAGAGTATTGGCAAATTCAGGTGAAGGTTGGCTGGCCGAAAAACATTGCTTAAACCTGCAATCCTTGTTCCTAAAGCCAGGAGTTTGCTCTATTACTACTGTGGCTAAGACTATTCTATCATGACTATAGTTATCTTAGGTTTATAACAACATTTTGTATATTTTTGTAATGTATATATATATATATATATATATCCTTTTGTCTCTATCGCTTTCTTTCTCTTTTTATACTCTGTTATGCATTACAATTCCAATACTAGGAAAGAAAGTTCAAAATTTTACTGCATGCATATATGTAGTCCAGGGGTAGGCAACTGTTTAGCTCTGGCACATGCCAAACCAATATGATTCCCCTTGCCACACTGTTGAACATAGTATTTGAAACATTTTAATTCCCGTGATAACGCATGCAAAGTGAGAAAATAGAGGTTAATAATATTACTTTACAGTTTTAGTATGTATTTATTTTGCTTCATTTTTTAAAGATACTTATTATAAAATTAACAGCATAAAATATGTTTATTTCTTCAACAAAAATATAACAAAATTAAATTTTTTTTATATATATTGAGTACTTTAAAGAATATTTATTAAAATAAGAAATACAAATCATAAAATGCAAATATTTGTATTTCCCTTCATTATAGTTAAATAAATAAATAAATGAAAATTTTAATGAGAACCTAGGACTTACACCACTTTACTTTCATATTGCAAAATCACGGGTATAATTTGAGACTTTCAATTTGACATGATTCTGAGCGAGAACACTATCTTTGCGGACTCAAAATATTTTTCATACGAGGAAAGATTTTTTACTTGGATATATAAAACCAAAAGCGAAAAGGCATTTTTTTTCTCTTCATACAATTAAATCTCTCCAGCAATGACATTTGATAATTTACAAAGTAGCTGTATATTTTTTGTGGAGTTACCGCTCAGATATTTTCGTAATTCCATAATTGTCCGTAATTCTGAAGATTTTTGTCAAGTAAGGCCATTATACACTAATCAACCTTCATCCACTCAAATACTGACAAATTTTTAGGGTAGTGCAGAGTGCCACTGAGAATTGTACTGCATGCCCCACATGGTACACGTGCCATAGGTTGCCAACCCCTGATGTAGTCTGTAACATAAAAGTTAACGCATCATGATGGAATTATCTGAATGAAGAAATCAATAGATGTGATGCTCATTTTTGAAAATAGAATGCTTACAGTATCTTATGAATCAAGTTTTCATAAAGGAAATCAGCTATTTCTGAAAATATGTTACGAGTTCGGAAACTATTGTTAATCATTCGATGAAGACTGCCGAAAAGGTAAATGTTATTTTTATATATAGTAAAATAAATACAATTTATACAACAATGCACAAAAATATAAATGAATATTCCTTCTTAAAATTACAAAATTGAAGTACAACAATAGGCTCAGTTTTCCTAAATACCTGAAAAAATTCGATAATCCTAAAATTTTATATTTCTAATAATTGGTACTAAATATTGTTACATGATGTTCAACCAATAATTTCAATTCTCAACTCATCGTTCAAAATTACTTCCAAAGTTTACATGTTTCTTCGAATTTTCGCAACCGAGTTCAAATAATGCATTCAAGATCAATATAAGTAGGAATTTCTGCATTATTATAGGAGCATAGTTTTACTTCAGTCTCTCAAATCCGAGTTATTTCAATAATTATTCGCCTTCGAGGAATGCAAACAACTGCTTTCATTAAACTTCACAATATTCAACATTATTGGAGAAACGGCATGACCCATCTGATAACACTGGCTTTGTATTGAAAGTTAGAGATTTGCTTAATGTATACGTGAGAAGACAATGTTTATTTGAGAATAACTTGTCTTATACTAGTTTTTGAATTACAAATCTTGTATGATTATACTTATAAATTTCAGTATATTGCTGTCTTTTGAAAGAAGAGAAAATGCCTATTAAAAGTAATGAACTTATTATGGGAAAAAAATGTTCTTTATTTAAACATTGATATTCTACAGATTTTAAAAAATTTTCTTCATTGTTTTGTTTCTTTCTTTTTTTTTTTTACAAAAGTGTTCTTTTCTCAAAAATATACGTTATTCAAATTTATTTAAAGATGATATCTGACGAAGTACACTTGATAATTGATGAGGCAGAATTACAAAATTGTAACTGTATATGCACCGAAAGTCTAGTAAAATTATATCTTTTATTCAGTCTATATTGTCCGATAAATCGATACACGAAACAAATGGAATTTAAATTTACGTAAATAAAAATTTAGCATTCAGATTGAAATTAAAAATATTTTGAAAGCTCTTATATGCTTTATGTATGAAAAATAACAACACAGTAAATAATTAAATCTCCCTTTATGTTCTTCATTTTATTTAGATTTTTATAAAATATCATGATCTCACTATACATCCTTTGTTCTCATGCCAATACAGATTATTATAACATTTAGATAAATTAGCCAAATAAACATACATATTCAACTGTTATATGATTAATGTTCTATTCAGACAAATTATTACCAATAGATGGGGGTCAGAGATTAAGGAAAAGTCGGATAATACGGAATACCGTGGTTTTGGCTCTGCATGTAAATGCTAGTGCGGGGGAAAGCCTTGAAGTACTGAAGAAAGAATTTCATGATTTATTGCCATCTAAGATTGACTAGGAAGATTGCATTTTTATTACAACATTTTTTGTTTTCGCGAATAACTTTTTAATATTTGAATGTCTCCGAAATTTTTGGCTCGGAAAATAAATGATTTATTATAAGCTCTATACCAGTGAGCATATGAACCAAACGCTGAATATGATTTGATTTGCTGACTATATATCGAATCAACTGTTCACCCAAAAAGTACCTGAATATATACATAAGTCCTTTTCCAAAGGCAGTGTCTAATTATGAACAGTTGTATGTTCATTAATCAAATTGTCAGGGTTCAAGCTTCAGTTAGATAAGGAATATTAATCGATGCCAATTACAATTACATTAACCTACTTCGATGCCGAAAACTTCGTGATAAAACATTGAAATTCCTGATTTATCGCTTTGTGTCAACACTGATCAAGAATTTGGATAATTAATTACTGATTTCTCTGAATCAATATCATGTACGCATTCTATAGCTAGGTGCTATTTAAAACTTAAGGTTTTTAATTTTTATTCGACCGTAATTTACATTTTATTTGCTTCACAATTCTTTAATTATTTTTTTTTACTCATGAATGAGTAATCATCTAAAGCAAAATTCGTATTAATACACCTACAATTGAATATGAAGATTATTTGCTAATTAATTTTTTACAATAGTTAATCATTTCTAATTCATTTTTTCTTTGATCCAAATTCATTTATTTAGGCAAATTACCAAGGTTTTTGTTTTGTTTTATATCAGGGTTGTAAGCGAATTAGCTATTCATCATTTTACAAAGGCAATATTTCTGTTAATTTCACACTGAATCAAAACAGCCTTTATTGACACTCCGTATGATGCTCAAACAAAGGTACACCGACGTCTTTTTTTTAGTACGATTTTGAATTAATACACATTTACCAATATACCTTTTCACACGCGTTTTTTATTCTAGCTCGAATCTCCCGCCCCACCCCCATTTTTATTACACTCTATTTTTCCATTCTTACTATTAGTTCACTCTCTCCCAATGCACACACACACACACATATATATATAAATATATGTATAGATCAAATTTTCAATCGTTTATAAATTACGAAAGTCAAGTTAAAGTACCTTTTTTAAAACTTGTAGTGAACGACACTTGATGTTAGTTCAGTTTTTTCAAACATTAATTTATTAATTAAATTTAAAAAATGAATAAATATTAACAAAAAAAAGTCCAACAGCATAAATAGAAAGGAAAATAGTTCATTGTGTCCCTTTAGAACAATGGATAGTCCGTTGGACTTCTATTCCAAAGGTCGTGGGTTTGAATCCCACCTGGGATGATTTAATTTCTACGAATGCGATTTTTTTACTGTGCCATTTTATTAGAATAATTAAATTTAATTAATGAATAAATAGTAACAAACAAACAAAAAAAGTCCAACTCCATATACAGAAAGGAAAATGGAAAAATGCAAGGAAAATCGCAATCTAATTTGTCACTTAATGTTGTGATTCTGTCATATGTATAAACATATTTATGTTAATTGTAACTATTTAATAAACATTAAATAACAGCACAGACTAACGATAATGGTTGATTGTGCATTTATTCCTTCGAGAGTCTAACTAAGACATTCAGAATAAATCACGACTAGTGATTCAAAAACGGTAACGGCACACCCTTCAACTAGATCAGCCACCTTAACAAGAGATTGGCCACAATGTCAAAGGAAAAACGTTCCATTGACACTCAAAACTTACTGGAGAAGTATAACAATTTCAGTAATTGGCTGGAAAATTAACCTTCTCTCCTTATTGTTCAGAAAGTCAAACAGAAAAAAAAAAACTTTCTTCTCTAGGGAGGAGGTATGCAGCGGTGCCTCCTTCAGCAAGTTTCAAACAGCAAAGGACAGGAATAAAATCCCTTAATGACTGGCCCGAATAAGGGTTTCTTTCGTCATAGTCGTGAAAGGCATGCACGGCGTAGCTGCGGACCAATAGTTGGGTGAATAAAATAAACATCCCTGCCAAGATCAACAGCTTATCGCAGAAAGTTCATAAATACACCCCGGATGTTCCCAAAACTAACCCAATAACTTTCCATATTTTCTACTCATGTGTGTTATTGCTTGAAATATTATTTTCGTAGTATGTATAATTTTATCCGAGACCAAATTTAACTTTTGAAGATTAGCATATTTTGAAATAGGATGATCTGTATTTCAATCTCAAAGCTTTACTGACCTTTTACAAAAAATGTTGTTTTTTGTTTTGTCTTTAAAATACAATCATTGTACGTTTAAAAATTTTTTCGCCACGTATTTCGTAACAAACACATTCTAATTAAATACACTATATACTTTTCATTTAAAAAATTTAGGGGGCATGTATCATAGTTTGAAAAGTTTTCAAATACTGAAATCCTTTAATGTTACACCCCGAACCAAAAAATCTATGGATTCTGGATTTCTGGATCTACGGATTTCTGGATATTTCCTAGTTTAAATATCAGTCATTTCAAAACTGGAAACACACTGGAAATACTGAAGCTTTTACATTCTATTTCAAAGACAATCCAGGTCTTGATTTTTTAGTACCTTTAAAGTCTTTTTGAGCGACATTATATTCTCGTAATAGAGGCTCCAGTTGCTTAGAGATAGCGTGCCAGCTTAGTAGGCTTAAGGTTACGGATTCAAATTTATGCGATATATTTTCTGGATGTGAAAATCGTTGGCACGCATGTCATATGATTATGTGGCATGTAAAAGATACCTTGAGTATCAATTTAGCTCTGGTACTCTCGGAAAAATTAAATCATGGCAATATTTAGCATCTGACCAGAACTTGAATTAAAAACTAATTCAAACGTCTAAAATTGGTAACGAGGCTGCCACTAGATCGTGCCACCATGAAATGGCTCTCCCATTCGGGGACATACCGGGTATGCGCAGGCTAAGTTTTTAAAATGCAGCTCCATTGGAAAAAAAAACATTCTCGTAATATATTTGAAGTCGAAATAAATTAACTATGCACTCCCCCGTCTACCCTGTGACCTGGCTAAAGGTGTGGGAAGAAGTTAAGGACGATTCGACATGATAATTTCTAATTATTTATTCAGCACTTCTAATAAACTCAAAACAATTCAATTAATCAAGTTAAATAATATGTTTTCAATTAGCGGGCAAAGGACGTGATGAGAGTCACGTATTCGGAGAATACTTCTAATAATTGATTCGCTTTTATTAATCAATCTTCTACATTAATATTTGCTTTAAATTGTAGATATGCGACTAATTGCCACTTAAATCTCTTTAATAATTTAAATATCAAAACGTACAATAAATGCGACTAATACCTTAACTGTAGATATCTTCTAATGTCTAATCCTTCAATCTCTTTATAATTTTAACTTTCTACTCTCTTCTCTCACACTGACTTATTAACACTCTTCCGTATATCTCTAACTTATATCTCACTTTGTCTCGTTTAAACTAACCTTTCAATCAAACGAACCTAAACTATATAATAAACTTAATCTGCAGATCACGGTTTCTTCTTCAGAAAGGGTTGTTGATTTTTACAGCCCAAAGATTTTTCCAGAGGTTAAATGAAAGACGCAAATATCTGCTACAAATATCTGCCACAAATATCTGCTACGTTTTGAAAGACTTACATGTGTCAGCATGGCTTTCAGTGACAAATAAACTGAACATAATTTCCAAGAAAATAGATTGCATTATATCAACAAAATTATAATCTTTATCATATTTTTTTTAAAATTTATTTTCTCCTGAACTTTATTTTATTTGGAACTGACTTTTTGTTATTTTCCTTTTTATTATAGCCATTTTTCGAATGAAAGAAAGGCAACCCCAGCAGAATTTCCAATTGTGATTCTTTCATACAATAAATGAAAATAAAAAGAATGAGAAAAAATTCAAGTAACAAAGCAATGAATTGCAAACTTCCACCTAATTCACCTAAATGTTTAAAATATTTTGTTAAGTTTTTTTTTTCTTTCTTATCAGTATAAAATGAAATGACCCAAAGAAATAGAAAAAAAAAAACATGGGAATAGCATTTGTACATAAAAAAAGCTGATCTTGCTAAAATATGTTCCGGAACTTTTTCAATAACATTCGAAGTTTGTTGAGTATTGTCAAATGCTTGGTTTCAAAATGCTTTGTTTGTATTTAATAAAAAAATATTGAATTTCTTTTTGAAAAAAAAATCAAAACATTGTTGTTATACATATATATAAGCAATTATTTATGGATAAAAATTATTGCTTACATATAAGTTCAGATATCAGCTCTTTTTTTACTTAATTCTCTCTTATAATGTTCTATCTTCATATAAAAATTTACATCAGTAAAAATTTGTTGTAAAATATTTTTAAAAAAATTAAGTACTTGTGCTCGAGTATAATTTTTCAAAAATTTATCAAATTTTTTTTTTATGTACAAAGTCTTGTAAATACATACTAAGTATTGAAGTTTATAAAGTCCACGACGATATTCGTTTTATTAGGATTAAAAGTTGCTAATTATTATTTTTTAAAAAATAAGCAATGCAACGAATAAACAATAAAAAAATTATTTCAGATTTTTGTTTGTTAATATATTTTGTATGGATAAGTAAAGAAGAGTATATATAAATATATGCAAGCATCTTAAATTCATCTATATGCGAATACCTTAGTTAAATATAAATAGTAGTTTTATCAATAATACTAATATCTTCTGGATCTTTCAAAGAAATAAAAACTAACAACATATATTAAAAATGAATAATTAAAGAGTAACAGAAATTCAGTAGTTTACAAAGCATCAATGTAGGGTTAGAAAATTTTCTCCAGTTTATATATATATATATATATATTAAAAAATTAGTTCTTTCAAATAATTAAAATGGATTACACAGTTTAACCATTCAGAAAATTTAAAAAAAACATGCATTTATTACTTAAAGTTAAAGACATATTTTATGGATAAAGTAGTTGTTGCTGGTATAAAATTTTCTGATTCTTTTCTTTTCTTAAAACTGCATATGAATAAATAATTTCATATATCCTAAGTTACAGAAAAAACTGAAAAATTTATTTTTGCTGATTTTATTTTTGAAATAAGATTTATCGTTATTCCATAGCATTTTTTTTCAGTAATAAAAATATGGTTGTTTTTAACAGTTGTCTCCGCAATCCTATATGTGCTGTATTCTTTTTCAAGCAAGGGTTCAACATCTTTATAATCAGTTTACTTTTAAGCATTAAATAATATTAGGTTTTGACCTTAAATCGAATTATACGTAATACATATAACATTAAATATCTGATTTTTAGCATCTAATTCCTATTTTCTCTTTCTCCTTTATTTCTCAATAGTAAGAAAGTTCATTGCCGGAAAGAAAGATATTCGACTTTCAACGGAAGAGCTGCTAAAATAACACTTTTCTTTCCTTACTTACTGAGCATATATAATTTTTTTAATATCAAATTACGTTTTGCATTGTACAAGAGCAAGACAGAGAATAGTCATAGTTATTCAACAATATTCATAACAATGCAATCATATTTCAATCAATCTATCAATGGAAGAAAATAATGCAAGTTATGTTTTTTAAAAAATACATGGCACTTATAAAGTACATTAAGAAGTTATAAGAACATCACATTTTTTTTGAAAATATAGAATAAAGAAAGGTTCTAATTGTAATTTAAAGCAAAGAATATGGCGTTGCAATTCATTTTTATTGTAAGGTTTCAATAAGTTTGAATAATGCAATAAATTATTAATTAACAAAAATATTAGACATAAACGAACAAGATTCCTTGTATAAAAGCAAACAAAAGAGAATGAAAATTGATTCGATATAGATCTTGCAGTTTTTTAATTGAAATGAACAAGAGGTTAAGTTTAATTTTAGAAATATCCTGCCATGTTTCTAATTTGCTACCTCCAGCTCTTCACAGACGGGGAAAAAAAGTCTTAGTGCTTAAACTTCCAACATAATAAATCCCTAATGTCTCCATTGGCACAAGTTTCGATTTTGATTTTACAATGTGGCTAATCCTTATTTTTTTTCTTTTAAAACTATATCTGAATGAAGTAGATCATGACAAGATCTCTAATGTGCTACTGTAAATCCAGTTATCACCAACTAGTAAAAGCCAATTCAGCATCCGGTTATCATTTAGCATAAATTGATATTGGGTTGAGTCTCTACGTCCCAAAATCTGTTGTCAACCACTCGATTTGTCTTAATCAATCACCATGTACTTGAAAGCTCTGCAAACCATTGCTGGTTTTAATACCATTCATCGATAGAGGTGTTCTTTTGA